ATGACAATCCCTCGACTAAGTTAACTTGACTAAACATGAATTAACATAAAATGACTGAATACATGAAGCTTGCTCGAGAGTCTATGGATCAAAATGAATATGCTCGACATGAACTATACGCACGGCCGTAAATAATTTATGGCCAATTCATGAGCTTGACTTAACCAACCGATCTAACATGACTTTAGCAAGACCAAGCAAAGGTAAATCGAGGTTACCTCTCCACTTGCTCGCCTGGTCGCACAAGGTGCTCGTGACCACTCGGAGTTCGGCGCTTCCGTGCGCGTACGTGAGCTTCCCCGTGTGTAGCGTATCTCGCGCGTGCAATACTCTCTCAACTAAGGTATTCTCACCTCTCTCTTTACTTAATGCATATATAATAAGGTATGTAGGAGCAAAATTCTCCTAACACCTACTATTTATATGAGGCCGAACAAAACAAGTGAAGAGGTGAGGGTGTGATGGCTAAATATTCTTATGCCCTTTGTAAATTAATGAAGGCTTTAGGGTGCTTACTCATGATGTAAATAGATTACTCACCACTAAGTATCTCCATTTGGTGACACCTCAAGCTAAAAAGGAAGACAAATTCTCCCCAAAATGATCACTAATTGCTCACGGTTTTAATAAAATTTTGCACAATTATCAAAAATGCCACGACAATTAATTAATGCAAGCATGATTAATCTTAATTAAGCATAATCTATATGCTTAATTAATTAACTAAACATGATACTTAACTACTAAAATTATTCCGAACGGAAACCTGACTTCGAAAATAATTTCGGTTAATCTCGACTTAAATATTTAATTCCAAAAAATAATAATCGCTAATATTATTATATCGGAACTAAACACATGATTTATATTACTAACATGACGGGATATTACAATCCTCCCTCCTTAAAAATTTCCGTCCTCGGAAATACAAAACGAAACTGAATATACATGAACCATAAGGAATATATACATCAAAACTGAAAATCGGGAAAACGAGCGCGAATGTCAGCCTCCTGCTCCCAAGTAGCTCCGTGGCGATCCCACTGAATACGAACGAGGGGAACATCTCGCTTCCGGAGCCGACGAACCTGACGGTCCAGTACAGCTACCGGTCGCTCCTCGTAAGATAGATCTGACTGAATCTGAATGTCAGTATGAGGAATGACATGATCGGGGTCGCACACGTACTTACGCAACATGGATGCGTGAAAAACGTTATGAACGCTGGATAACTCGGGAGGTAAGGCTAATCGATACGCGACTTCACCCACTCGCTTGAGAACATCGAACGAGCCAATGAATCGAGGGTGCAGCTTCCCTCTCTTCCCGAATCGAACAACTCCGCGAAACGGACGAACTCTGAGAAAAGCTGGCTCGCCAACCTCGAACTGAATGTCTCGTCGATGATGATCGGCTGAAGATTTCTGTCGACTCTGAGCTGTCTTGAGTCTCTGCCGGATCAACTCGATCGGTTCTGTTGTCTCCTCGATCAATTTCAGACCGAGTACTCGACGCTCGCCGACGTCGTCCTAATAAAGAGGGGAACGACACTTACGACCGTAAAGTGCCTCGTAAGGAGCCATCTGAATAAAAGAATGATAGCTGTTGTTGTACGCAAATTCAACGTAAGGCAACAACGACTCCCACTTAGCACCCCTGTCAACAACCAAAGCTCGTAACATATCCTCTATCGTCTGAATGGTCCGCTCGGACTTACCATCAGTCTCCGGATGGTAGGCTGAACTAAACTCTAGTTTCGTACCCATGGCCTCGTGTAAACTCTGCCAGGATCTACTGACGAATCTGGGATCTCTGTCTGACACGATAGTAACAGGCACTCCCTGGAGTCGAATGATCCCACGGGTATAAATCTCAGCCAACTTATCCAAAGACATCTTCAGCGAAACTGGTAAGAAATGAGCGACCTTAGTCCATCTGTCGACCATGACCCAAATAGCATCGTGATGTTCAGACGACCTCGGTAACCCCGTGACAAAATCCATCGTGACTTCTTCCCACTTCCACTTCGGAATCGGTAGTGGTTGCAGGAGGCCTATTGGACTCTTATGTTCGGCTTTGACTTGCTGACAGGTAAAACATCTCCTGACAAAGTCGGCTACGTCCTTCTTCATCCCTCGCAACCAGAATGACCCTTTCAGGTCATGATACATCTTCGTGCTTTTGGGATGGGCAAGATATGGTGCGGTATGAGCCTCTGTCAATATCTCTTTCCACAACGCCTCAACTTTCGGCACCACAATCCTGCCACGGTACTCCAAGGCACCATCGGTACCTCGTTGAAAACCCTCGACGTCTTCGGCGCGGACTTTGGCATCAATGACACGAACAAATTCGTCAGAAGCCTGCTCCCGCCGGATTCTCTCCCTCAGCGTCGGCTGAACCTGCATATCACTGACACTCCCCCAAATGGCTGTGGGAAGTGCATCAACTGCCTGAATCTGCATCAGGGAAAATTCCTGAAACAAACGGCTCTACTGAGTAACGACGTACGTCAAATCACCCCCTACCTTACGGCTTAGGGCATCCGCAACGAAGTTCGCCTTTCCCGGATGGTACTGAATCGAGCAATCGTAATCTTTGACGAGCTCTAGCCAACGGCACTGTCTCATGTTGAGCTCCTTCTGAGTGAAAATATATTGCAAGCTCTTATGATCTGTGAAAATCTCGTATCAACCGCCGTAAAGATAATGTCGCCAAATCTTGAGAGCATGAACAACTGCGGCTAACTCCAAGTCATGCATCAGATAGTTCTGTTCATGTGGCTTGAGCTGACGTGAAGCATAAGCAACGACCTGGCCATCCTGCATAAGTATGCATCCCAAACCCTGTCTCGAAGCATCACTGAAAATGGTGAAACTCCGTGAAGGATCGGGAATAGTCAACACCGGTGCTGAATTTAACCTCTTCTTGAGCTCCTGAAAGCTTGACTCACATCGGTCAGTCCACTCGAACTTCACAGACTTCCTCGTCAGCTGGGATAAAGGGAGGGCAATCTTGGAAAAGCCCTCGATGAACCTGCGATAATAGCCAGCTAAATCGAGAAAACTGCGAACCTCGGACGGACTCTTCGGTGTCGACCAGTTCTGAACAGCTGAAACCTTGGAAGGATCTACCTCGATACCTGCCTGAGTAATGACATGGCCAAGAAAGGCTACTCGCTGGAGCTAGAATTCGCATTTGGAAAATTTTGCATATAACTTTTCTCGTCTGAGGGTTTCGAGAACAACCCTCAGATGCTCCTCGTGCTCCTTCTGGCTCTTTGAGTAGATAAGGATATCGTCAATGAAAACAATAACGAAATGATCAAGGTAGGGATGGAAAATACGGTTCATCAGGTCCATGAAAACTGTTGGAGCATTACTGAGACCAAATGGCATGACGACGAACTCGTAATGGCCGTAACGAGTACGGAAAGCGGTCTTAGCAATATCTGACTCCTTGATTTTCAGCTGGTGGTAGCCTGATCGTAAATCAATCTTTGAGAAGACACAGGCTCCCCTCAGCTGATCAAATAAATCGTCGATCCTGGGAAGCGGATACTTGTTCTTGATCGTCAACCGGTTAAGATCCCGGTAGTCGATACACATGCGCATGGAACCGTCTGTAACACCCCACTTTTATTTTACAGAAATTCCGGACTTTCCAAAAATCAGTACAAATTTTTCGAGATCATTTTCGAAATTTAATGGGTGTTAAACAATATTTTTCATAACCCAAGTCTTATTTGCGCCCACGGGGATTCATTACCCGATTTTCACAAATGGTTTTCATTAACCAAAACATATCATACGAGACTTAATACTCAACATGAATAATAAAACCACATCATCATACCCAATAATCCAGGGTTCCACAAGTTTCTCAAAAACAACATGTCATAAGGTTTGGAAAAAGTTTGAAACGAGTCTCCACATAAAGGTCCATAAAAGCCTTATTTATTCTACGGAAGCATAAAATGCATAACGAAATGAACGACCCACTCGCCTCTTCTCGTCACCCTGCTCCTGCTTAACCTGCATCGGTGAATAGCAGGTGGGGATGAGCACAAGATGAAAAGCGTGCTCACCACTATGCACATATATCACAACATAAATAATGAAGAGAAGGTATGGTTAGAGTATGAACATAAAACAATTAATCTGTCTCGTCTCCTAATCACATCACAACATAATACCCACGTGTACACATCTTTCATTAGCCAAGGAAAGGGGATTCATTACCCTAACTCATGGGGGTACGTGCCATACGACAAGGCACGGCCTTTCATTAGGTCTTACGGAGACTTACCTCGCAGGTAACCGTATTACATCGACGGGGACAACCGTACCGACGGCCGAATCGGCTCACGCCGATAGGCTACATGGTTTACGTACATACTAAAATCATACCAAGTCGACATCATGATAAACACTAATGGCATAGCAAATTTTACAATTACAACCCACCTGGATAGCTCGGTAGAAAATTGCACACAAGAGCAAGTACGTAGGAAGAGGATCGACTCCTCAAACACCTACATTTAAGCGATTTAATTTATTGATGGGTCTACTTCCGGATCTGGGGTGAACCGATGAAAAATCGCCTGGATCTGGAATGAACCGATGAGAACGAGCTCAGATCTGTCCTGATGGTCTCCAAATTGCTATCGAACCACAAGAACACCTGCAAGAACTCAACGCCGGAGGGGTTTCCGGCGTAGAGCCTCCGACGCTCAAGTCAGTATATGAAAGAGATGAAGAGAGCTGCTCTGAGGGCAGCAGCAGTAATGAAAAGAATATGGAATGAATGGGAGTTAGGGTTTTGGGATTACCTCAGTCCTTTATATAGAAGTGCAACATTTACCTGAAGTCCCCAAAGTGCCCCGGCCGACTTACTGGAAATGTCCAGAATACTCTGGTCGGTTCGTATTCTGCCTACTTCCTAGTCAGCATCTAGATCCTTCCTTAGCTTCCTTCTTATCCTTCATTCTCCCTCGATACGCTGAGGTGTATCAAAGCTATCGAGAACTACGAACCAAAGACTCCTTCAGTCGACCTGAGATATTGAGTCGAGTCGACTGGATCGCATTCAAACGTTAGTGTACCCTGATACGTCTGACCGGTCTTGGCAGAAATCGACTTATTCTAGTCGACAGGTGTACATCGACTCGGTCGAGAGCCGGGATTCTTGACTGAGTATCGTGGAGCCTTACTGGCGGAGTCTACTGTGTTGAAGTCGACTTGATAGTTTCGAACCGTGATGATATGAACCGTTATGAGCCAGTGTGGCTATATCATCTAGTCCCCCCCCAAAATTTACTCGAAGCGATTCTGAGCTTAAGAGTAAGTTCTGGACGGTCGAGTGTCTTCCTCGAGTCTTTTCTCATATCCTGTCACCTGTCGTTGCCCTAAATTATACCCGGTCATTTCTGCGACTTGCGAAGTGGTGTTTGCCCAATCGTATTTCGGACTGATTGGATAAGTCTGGATCTTTTCGAATTTCAAAATTCAAAAGATAACACTTTCTCTCTCCACCGCTTCGTATTCTATGCATCATCTTAGCCGTTGAGAGTGGCTTTAATCTGAGGGCTGGGGTTTCTCTGCCCTCTCTATAAATAATCCCCATCTTTTCTCGTCCTCACTTTTCGCACTCACCTCCTTTAAGCTTTCTGTTTTTTCCGGCAAACACAGCTTTTCGGCGCTCTTATTCTCCGGCATCCTTCTCTGATTTCTCAGGACATTCCGTCAAGCATCATGAGTATGAGTAAGTTTTCTTTGCCTGTTCGACTTGTTTTCGTATTTCGAGATATGAACACTTTTTATTTTTCTGGGTAAATTGTCTGGAAATAAGAACATTTTTCATTTTCTGGGAATTGCATGTGAGTCTTCTGGCGATTTTCCTGTTAGATCTCTGATTGTAAGTTTTTCATGTTTTCAAGTGTTATCTTTTGCTAGTCGTCTTGTTATGAGATCGACTCTCTTCCTTTCCTGACTTGACCTTTATTTGTCAAGTCGAATTGATATGGGAACTACTTTTCTTATTTCTTCTCCCTTTCTTCCCGTCGTCGAGACGCTTCTCGTGTCATCCTGGTTATTTTGTTGACCCTTCTCTTTGAATCGAATCACGGTTTCTAATAACTTTTCTTGATTGCCGTTCTTTTTCTTGTTAGATTCCAATCTCGACCCTGTTTCTGACCCGTCTCCGGTTCTCTTGCCCGTGAAATCGATAACTACTCGGGTTCGGACTCTGTTCACCCAAACGATGTCGAGTCGTGTTCTCATCGAAACGTTGAGCCGGAGGATTTTGTCCATTCACATGCCTCTCCTTTCGGTATCGATTGGGCTGTGTATAACCAGGCGTTACTTTCGGGCACCCTTTGTGAGGATCCCGAAGTTCTCAAAACCCTTGAATCTTCTTACCCCGACTTGGCTCCTCGAGGTATTTTCCGCTAGATTTCTTTCGAACATCCTCATACCCGCGGCCAACCTTGTTCTTTTACTTGATAATGACTTCCCTTAATCGAGTCTGCAACTATAGCATGTTCCGTGGTAAGTTCTTACTATCGTTTTCTTATGCTCCTACAGCCGAAATCGATGGCTTCAGAGAGTTCAGCGGCCTTCCCTTGGATTGGGCTGTCGTCGCTCCTAAGCCCGAAGACGACTTTCGTCGCCCTCCCAAGGGTTGTTTTACTTTTTTCGTGGATCAAATAATGTCAGGCCTGCGTTTACCGATTCAACCTGAACTGCAATCGTTAAGTAACCTTTTCGATATACCAATAAACCAGTTCAACCCTAATTTTATTCGAATAATGGTAGCCTTCATAGTTGTTACCCGCATGTTTTGGTAATTTTCTACCCGAGTTTTTCCTTTACTGTTACGGGTATAGGTTTAGCAAGGACGCCCATTGTCTGGGCCGTCGAGTAGGTGTCACTTTCCTTGACGACCTTTCTTCCAACATTACCGAATGGAAAAAGATGTACTTCTTCATTCGACCTGCTCCTGTCCAGTATCCCTTTTCGAATGAGTGGATTACCCATAAGACAAAGCAGCGTAAGCGTCCCGACTCTTCACAGTTCGCTGATATGCTAGAAGAGTTAAACAAACACGTATGGAGCGCTCGTCGACTTACCAAAGATACTTCTTTACTTAATCATGTTGGTATCTGTGTTGATAAAAGTGCTCCTCGTCTTAACGATCCTTGTAAGCTTCTTCGTTTGTCGTCTTTTACTTACTGATTGTTTGGTCTCGCGTTTCTGCGTTTATTTGAAAAGCACGTAAGGCTGATGTGTTTGTTTGTACTTGATCCTTTTTTTTTAGTAAAAGCATTAGCCCGCTTCGAGAAGAAGAAGGCTGAAGCGGCCCGCCAATCGGTTGCTCAAGAGCTCGGGGGTGGCTCGAGTTCTGTCGCTTCACCGGCGGCGGTCGAGACGACTGCCGCAAAGAAGGCTAAAGT